CATTTCTTATAGTTTCTAATGTTCTGTGCCCGAATTTAACAATGAAAACGCGAAACTGGTTACAGTTTGTGAGAAATCTGAAAATCACTGTTAGTATATTTAATAATTTAATGTGTTTCGTAATCGTAGAAACCAAACAAAAATGTCAAATTTGGTCCTCGTTCAGCTGCCCTGAGGCAAGCTTTATTGAGGGCGGTTTCTTTGCTATCTGATTTTGTTCGCTTCGTTGTGGCGATCATTTCTCGCCTAAGTTCGGGTGTTTGCCGCTGCGTCATGTCTGCTCGACCAGGCTTGGCTGGTGTAGTCCGGCTTTTTGGTAGTGGGTGGGGCAGCCCTAGGAAGGGCTGCCATTTGCCTGGGGCGGCCTGGAACGGGGATGGGCGGGGTGTCTATTAGGTCTGGCGATCGTTGTTGAGCTGTCCGTGAAGATGGCGGCTCGTTTGGTGGGTTCTCTTTTGTGGCTTTAAAACTGGCGATAACCTCTTCAATTGGGTGTGTTTTAATGTGTTTAATTGTACAGACAGTTTTATACCCGCAACCCACCAAATGTCACAAAACAGCAGCAATCAAATTATTTGATTCTAAGAAAATATGACATCATTATCATTTTTCTGTGCCCTGCCAACTGACTTAGGCGCCCATGCGTCTCCACAAATCACGATCCCTGGTTGACTGGAACAGCTCTCTTGGTGATATCCACCTATGCCATATGTTGTGTTTATCACTAACTGCTTAAATAGTCACTGAAGACGAAAACTAATTAGAAGTACAAAGCACTATGAAACGTGCCTGTACAAGACTGCTTCTACTTCCTTTGTTGCATTGCCTGACGTCTGTGCAGCAGTACTGGGTCATCTCCGACGAGTGGCCGTCATGAAATGGTCCAGTTTCCTTGCTATCGTTTCTCCATTGTCGCAATGTCTTGATGAAAACTCTCCCCATGCTTTTCACTAACCATTCTACCGTTACTGGAGAAGAAATCCAAGTGGAACTGGAGAAAGAAATATTGCAGCCAATCATCTGAAACTGAGACATCCTATCTTTAACCAGTTTTTGTAGTTTTTACCTCTGTATTCCCCAGAAATTTAGTCGACACCAGAC